ATCAGGGAGGGGAGGGGCTACGGGGAAGGCAATTGGGTGCAAAGAGGAGGGAAGGTAACTAGGGAGAAAACCCAGTCTGCGGGTTTTACTAGATCAACTGTACGGTGGTGGCCCAATCCAACTGCGCGGCAGACGGCGTGCTGGGATGAAGTGAGAGCTGCCCAGAGGGACTTACGCGACGATTCTGGATGTCCGATAACAGCAGGCCCCCCTTTCATGAACAACACGCGCCGCTGCATGTGCACTCCGACTTGGACGTGCGCAGTCTCAAGCACACGCACACACGGCGGACGTGGCCCGTACAAGCTGGTAAATCCGTTACGTAAATCCGTTCCTTTTGTTGTTACAGATGTGAGGCCGCAGGTTAGGAAGGCGGAAAGGCATTAGAGCTCTAGAGCGGTGTCCACTTTGCCAAGTTGATGATGGGGAGGGGTTGTTTGCAAGGACCTCTTAGGAAGGGTGTATGTTCCCCCTTCCCCCTGCCTCCCCCGCCGCACCAATCACCGCCCAAACCACCGCAGCCTGGCAACCTACCCTCGGCCGGTAACCCACTCCCCGATTTCCCACAACCGAGCTCCATGTTACCATGATCCTCCCTCCTCCCCCCCCCCCTTAGGCCACTGGGGCGCCTCCAAACTCGCCGTGTGCACCGCCAGCCAGTGTTTTTTTTAAAGTAATATATTACTTTTAAGGAATAAAGAGGCCTTTTTGGCCTTTGGAAATAAGGAACAAAGTGAGGCCGATCCGTACATTTTCATTCCTTCAGCCAAAAACGTCCATTGCTGCCAGATTGCTCCGTAGTGTGCAGAACTTAGTATTATTGATCATAAAATAGATATGAGGGGCCGTAAGAAGGTCAAGCCCGTGAGTCAACGCGGCATAGCAGAATGTATGACCGGTCCTTCCATAGACAAACACGCAAAAGGCAACGACTTGAACGCCGAACAAACACAAAAACAGCAAGATAAGTCTAAAATTTTTCCTGATAAAGGCGTTTGGGACGGCGGTGCTGTTGTCGGTAATGCATCGGCAATGTTGCTGCCAGCGGCGACCGATGACACGGGCGCCATTACCCCTGCCTTCCATGGCGGTTGTGATCAGCATAAGCGCAAGCTGTCACCCAATCAGCTTGACAACAACGAATGCGGCGAGGCGCCCAACCCGAGTGCTCGCAGTGCCAAGCGGGCTCAGACACAGCGCATCCGCAAGGGCATGAGCACCTAGCATTGTGTGTGCGGATGTTTACCCAGGACCTGTTCGATCTGGGCAC